TCGCAAGCCCGAAACCAGTCGGGACGAGCGTCTCACGCCGCCAGAAAGGACAGTGTCAATCTCGGGAAAGAAGACACAACCTCATACTTGCGAACATGTTTCCGTCAGTCTGGATGGACCTGAGTTTTACGGCGGGCTTTTCAGAGCTTTTCGGGTGAACCCGTCGAGTTACGGCTCGTGCGCGAGCAGCCGCCACCATGCGACCGGCGTCGTCGACGGTCGATTTAGACTCTGCAAGCAGATGCACGAGCCAGGGTTGACCGATCGGGTGTGTGTGGGCCACCACCAACATCAAGGTGAGCCAGCCAGGCGGGGAAGATGTACATGACCGCGATGAAGCCTGCTCAGCCGGCTGTATTGTTGACTCGCCAGGGTAGTGGGTGGGTGTGCTGTGCTTTCTTTTGGGCCAACACCTCGTAGACCTCGCATCCTGCGGCCCCAGCTTCATGGCTGAGATGGCTAGACGGTGGGCTTTCTTGCTTTCTGATAGGCGTCTCGCTAAAACGGGTATGCGAAAGCACGCGGACATCCGTGAGACATCGCAGTGCAGCAACATGTCGCAGAGAACGTGGCTGCAGCGCAAAGATGACGAGGGTTGAAGCCATTGCAAGTGGTTGGAGGGCGGGGCAGGCGTGCTCGATCCAGCAACTTCCCAGTTCTTCTTCATCCACTTGCATGTAGGTCGGTGTCATTGGCCAATGGGGAGTATGTACAGTTAATTGAAGAGAACAACGGCCCTCAACTTGAAGCAACAAGCATGCAACCTGTCGTTGCAGGTTGCCGGAGCATTTCACCTTCGATGGAAACCCAGCGAGTGTAGCATGTATTGAGAGTTTGTCCTCCGTCAGAAGGAGGTCATATATCGCGTCACCAAGGAAGGATTTCCCGAACAACCTTGGGTCCGTGCTGAAGCGTCTGCTTTGAACGCCTCCAGATCTCCCGAGTCGATTTTGACGTCTGCAAAAGCATGGCGCCGTTGAACGCCAGAGCTCGAGTTCAACAAACACAAACCACTGCGCGCGCGCACGTACAGGGACAGAGAATAATAACCGGCTGGTTGCACCCTAGACCTCTCATTAGGACCCCCTGCGGCTTGTGTCTAGGCCATTGTAGCGGCCTCCCGCACCGCAGTCGGGTGTCTGTGCTGTGCATCTCCGCTGGGCCAGTCGAGCTGGATCTCTTTCCCTTTTCCACCAGGTAATCCGAGTCTGTCCAGACGCTATTGCTGGTTATTATCGTGCCTGTCTCCATTCGTGCATTATTGCTGTGTTGATGGACAGATTGGGCGAGTAGTTGATGCAGTAGCTTGCCATTAAGCCCGTCCTGTCACGTCTGCCTCTGCCCATGAGACCCGACTGGTCCGGCCCCCGTGCGTGGACGAATGTGTCTAGTGTCTTGAGTCTTGAACAGCCAGTCCATTGGCCACCCCTCCTAGGCCAATGTCGAGGTAGACGGGGTCAGGATGCTCAGACTCAAGCAGGACTGAGAAGTATCTCTTGCGCCTAAGAGGCCCAAGCAATGATCTACGGTGATTTAGATAGTGGCTAGAAGTCGTAGAATGTTTCCCATAGTCAATACCCGGGACTTCCAGCGAAGGCGAAGTGTGGAAGAGTCAGCGCAAGACGAGGACGTAGGTACGTACGAACTAGTATGGGCTGTGTAGTTCTGGCGTACGCAAGGGAGAGCGGGTCCGCCGTAGCTGTGTCATTGTTGGCCCTCCGAGCCCGCCCTTTGTTGTTGATGCTACATTGTACGGGGCTCGAGGGACCCTGATCAGCCATCTGGGAAACGGGCGGTTGAAGGGTTGTCTCAGCGCCTCCTCTATTTTTGCCCCTTCCATCCCACTATGAGTGAGGTGATGGCGTAGTGGAGAGCAAAGAGAAGAGAGTAGGGGGAAAGAGCCGAGTTTAGTCGAGTCGGAAGGCGTCGCAATTGCCGTTTATTAGACCAGATGGGAAGCGACTACCGTCTCTAGGAGGCAGTCGAGGCAGTCTACCCCAGATGCACTTTCCGATCCCATCTCCCAGCCGACAAGCCAGATCGTCATGCCTTCCCTCTTTGGTGCCTCCCTACCTTAGATAGGCCATGATTAGGAGTACGCCTACCTTCCCAGGTACCTACTTGCTCTAAAGTAGGTAGGCATTTTAGAGCAAGCAAGTAGAGTCGTCGCCCACATTTCTTCGAGGTCTTCTCCACCTTGCAGCGAGCTTCCATCGTCATCCCGGCTTCCTATCCCGGCCACTACTGTATTCGTAACCCCCTCGCCGGCCAGGAGGAAAAAGAAACAGGATTACAACCAGGCAGTCAGGCAGTCAGGCAGTCGGTCAGTCAGGTAGTCCATAAGTCTGAATGTGTGTGAGGAAAGTGCGATGCTGGCTGCTGGCTGGATGGGTGGTTGCAAAGTACATAGAAGCAAGGCCGTCCCTCCTTCCTCCATATCTGTATGGTACATGAACAGGGCAGGGCAGGGCAGGGTTGAGTAAGGCAAGGTATCCCAGGTAGCGAGGTAGGGCAGGCTGCGAGATGCAAGATGAAGGATTCGATCGAGTTCACCTGCATCTACCTCGTCGTAACTTTACCGTTTACCTAGTGGAGAGGTGTGCAGCGCGTATCGTAGACTCGTTTAGTCTGATGTAGGTAGAGTGGAAGGAAGCAAGCAAGCAGACATCATCGTGCCCTTCGCCTACCTTACCGCATAGTAGACGCGATGTTAGTGAGCAGCCTGGTTCGTCCTTATCCATGAACGGCTGGCTGTCCAGGTGAACCTGACAGGTCGCATTCGATGTTGCGGTGTTGGGTTTGCAGTAGGCCAATCACGTTACACTCCACCACAGCGTTGCCCACGAGCCCACCACCCTCTCTGCACGTTGAGGCGGGTTCCAGCTAGCTACCTCGTTAGACTCGACTACTCAACTGCACTTACACGCTTTTATTTTATTGTTTTTTTTCCCTCTGCTCGCTCTCAGTTTGTGTGTGTGTGAACTACCTCGCCTTTACTCCACAATTGGCACCGGCCGAGAAACCGTAGGCTGCTTTGTCGAGGTGCCTCCTGCGTCAGTCAGTTTCTCCTCCGGTCAAAGACTTAGACGCAAACCCGCCTCGGCGTATATTAAAGCAGGTGGGACACGCCCTCGCTTACCATCGTCACCGGCCACCGTTGTCTCTCTGTCCAGCTGTCTAGCTGTCTTGCTCTCCTGCTGTCTATCTGGTTATTTGTCTATCTGTCTGCTTGTCTTGTCGGCTTGCAACCGCAAAACGTCCATCTGATCTAACTATCCGCACCATAGAGCGAGGGTATATGGTACAGGCACAGGCCACTTACATACAAGACCGAGCACACCCGCCCCCTTCCCCCATCTAAACACACCTGAACCACAAC